AATTTATAACATTTTTGTTATATTTTCTGTAAACCTATTTCTCGTGTTTGCAGCAAATGATGATGAGATAAAAGACTTACCCGGACTCCCAAAGGCAATCAATTTTAAGCAATATTCCGGTTATTTGGATATAACTGAAGGCAAACATTACTTCTATTGGTTTGTCGAGAGTCAAAAGGATCCCGAGAACGCACCGGTAGTCCTATGGCTGAATAAAGGACCCGGATGTAGTTCACTGTTTGGAAACCTGGGAGAGAACGGACCCTTTCGAGTGAATTCCGACGGGAAGACCCTGGTGTTGAACCCTAGCAGTTGGAATACTGTGGCGAATGTCATATATCTTGAATCCCCGGTTAGTGTCGGCTTTAGTTATAAAGACGACAAACAGTATCACAACTCAGATAAGTCTACCGCAGAGGACAACCATTTAGCTCTCGAAGCGTTTTTTGAAAAGTATCCCAATTATAAGAAAAACCCATTTTATATAACGGGTGAAAGTTATGCCGGAATTTATATCCCAATGTTAGCCCAACAGATATTCAGCAATAAATCCACAATTAATTTGAAAGGTAATTAATAAATTCACAATTCATACAGTACATATTCGACAAATATAAAAATATTTTACTTATATTAAAACAAAAGGTGTAGCCATTGGAAATGGAGCTTACGGTTCAGATAAAGCACCTTTTATCTATATGGCTAATCATGACTTTAATTTGGGCCACGGATTGCTCACAACGGAGTCCTATGAGAAGAAGATTGAGAATTGCTGTGAATGTAAAACAGGAGAAGTACAGCATGAATGCGATTTCTATCACCCGACAAAATCTTCGTAAGATTGCTTATAAATAATAAGATCAATGTTTATTAATTGCATAAACTGTATAAATATCTATTATTAGGACATGTAGTGCAGTTCGCTTGGAGGAAATGTATACTCCTAACCCATACAACATATACGATGATTGTGGCGCTAATTCAGCTTATATTAGACTTTATAACAATTATTACGCAAAGAAATTAAACAAAAAGCCTATTAGCGAAAGGTCTAATGAACTAAAATGTCCATACAATGGATACCCAGAGTATTTGAATAGTCCTGAAGTCCGTAAAGCTCTTCACGTTAAGGAAGACGCCAAACATTGGGCCGATTGTGGCGGCTCTTACTCCGGCCGCGACACCGATCAGACACCTGTTTTCAATCAATTGTTAAATGAGTATAAAATTGGAAAACTTGTTGTGTTTAATGGAAACTTTGATACCGTGTGCGGTCACGTCGAGAATCAACGGTTTATCGATAGTTTAAAACTTAACAAAGTTGGTCACTATAGGTAATAAAATTTTCTACATTAAAAACCTAATATAGTATTTATACAGAAAATAGATTTTAAGCTATAAATTAATTGTAGTGAATGGAAAACACCTGATGGATTTATTGGTGGATTTGTGCAAAACTACGAGAAAAACCTGAGTTTCGTGTTAGTCCGCGGGGCCGGACATATGGTTCCCTACGATAAACCAGAGGCTGCCCTACAGTTACTCAAGAATGTGGTCGGAATCACACAGTTTTAATTCAAATAAAATTAATTTGAACTAATTTATAAATTAATTTTTTAGAGAGTTTCTATCTTAATCAATAAATATTTGAGATTTCTATTATTTTAATTTATCGACAGTATTTTTATTCATATTAAATTATAAACCACATAGTGCGCTATCATTTTGAAACAATAGGCACGATTGTACTGAGTATCAAATATTAAGTTTAGTATTACTGATTAGATTAATTAACAAACTTTCTTAATATGATTATTGACTTATATTCTATTAATATATATCAATATACTTTCAAATAATTTTAATATGTACACAATCGATAACATAACTCTTATGATTGCAAATTGCAATATTAAATAAAGTGAACTTTTTTTTTTTACTTATGTTTAATATTTTATAATTTTAATATCAGATACTATTAGTTTAATAATTGCATTTATAAATTCATTTATGGAATTTTAAAATATTTATTTTAATATTCATAAGATATGAACAAAACATTAAATTTTTTATAATATAATTATTGAATGCAATAAATATTTATAATTTAGAAATTGCAATAAAATCTTTAAAGAAATGAAGGGCTGCCTCGGGTTTGTCCTGAGGCACCATATGCCCGGCCCCACGAAATAATACAAAACTTAAACCATTTTCGTAATTTTGCTTAAACCCA